TAATTACTTTTGAATTAATCAGTAAAGTAACGGGATTACTTTTTGGGGGAAGTAATCAGTAATTAGTTACTGATTACTTTTTTCAAGTAACTTGACCAACACTGATGGTGAGTCAGGCCAGTTTTATGTCGCACTGACCAATGAAATGAAAGCTGTGACTCTCTCCAGTCATTTAGTTTGGGGCTTAAAAATAACCGCCTGCATTCATGCCAACTTCCCAAGTTACAAGACTTGCCTGAACGAGGATTTTAAAACCTATAGTTAGAATTTGGTCATCCGGATAAATCAAAGAATGAGCAGCAAGTAAACAAAGCCATTAAATGTTGCATGAGAACAGAAGACACTTGAAGTTAAAAGAAAACTTCCCTGCAGTGTCCAGTTTAAAGCAGGCAGCAGTTCAGTCAGAAGCAGCAGAGCTGTGCAGCTGATTCCAGGCAGGAGCTGTAAACCCAGACAGGATACACAGAATAAACCAAAAACTATAACTTCCTGTGATTTTTGGTGAACGCAGCTCAGGAAGTGAGATGGGAGCAGACAAGGAAATAAGCAGAGCATCCACTTAAGATAATGAAGCCAAAATGTTGTTACATTAAAAACAAATCCAACATTTTATATTGTATTTTTACTATTTTAACACATTTCCTCTGACAGTGCTTCAACTGAGATCTCCAAACTCATCATGACCTCATCTTGATTTTGCTCGTAGACAGTGTCCAAACTACAACTGCTGAAAGAGCCAGCCCTGTAAGGCTTGACTGGTGATACTGGAAATGTGGGTTTTACAAACAAAATGACAGCTGAAATGAACCTTTCGTCTAGATTTAACTTTTGTCCTGAGGGTTTGCCATGTAAAAACACATAACATACGCAGGCTTCTGTTTAAGTAAGAGCAATTATAATACTTATCTTCAGCAAACACGCACAGCAGCCACGATTTTCGTCACCTTTGTGCTTGTGCAGCATACCTGCGCTGAGATCTTTCATCTAAAGCTCTTTGCAGTTGTGCCTGCTTGTTGTGGTTCTTCCTTACGCTTTGTGGAAGCTTTATTGAACTGTTAAACAGTCATTTTTAATTGTAACATTAACGTCTGAGATATTAAAGTAAATCAGTTGGTAAGCATTAGTCATTGAGCTGCAACACTGCCAAGAAGTGACGACATACCAGCTGTGGATTTTCCTGCTGAAATGACAGCACAGATGGGATTGTGCCTTAGGCCTGGATTTTTTTTCTTCTAGCTGCTCCATAGTTGGCGTGCCTCGTCAAGCTAGCCCTGTACACAGTGTTTGAAGTAGGGGTGGGCGATATAAACGATATACGATAGAAACGATATAAATTTGGCCAACGATAGAGATTTTGACTATACCGCTCTATCG